TCTCTCTCTCTCTCTCCTATATCCTTCATACTTGGGGAGGATGGGTTGGGGAAGGATTCCAAAGGCAGAATCAGCTCCCAGGACTGATTATCTTTTAAGAGTCAAAATTCCTAAACCACTAGGGCTTGATTGGTGCTAATTGATTAATCTCTTAAAACAAAACCTTTGAGGTCCATCTTTCTCTCTTTCATCTCCCCAACCCATGCCCACTCCCTTTTCCCCACCTCCCTAAGAATATAACTCCAGTGCACCCACTCCCGTGGGTCAGGGCCTCCGGACCCAGGTGAGCTGGACCCCCAAAACTGCTGCCTGCCTCCCCTCTGGCCCAACAAAATCAGGGGGCCGTACGGATGGAGGCACAAGTGTCTTCTAAAACCTTCCTCCTAAATTGAAATTTTAAGAAATTCTTCCCCAGAGCATTCTAGAGGTGGGTCTGGGTCATTCTCTGCTCCCCTGGAGGGAACGCTGTTCGAAGCCGGCCTGGCCGGTTTTTTGTTTATTTTGTTTGTTTGTTTTTGGAAAAAGCAACTGCAGGCAGGCCTTGGTTAATGAGCCGCCGCCCTGAGGGCCCCCTCCCACTTACTGCCTTGCCTTGCCTGGTCCAGCTCTTATCTACATGGATCTTCACTGCCCTCCCAGCCCTCTCCCCCTCGCCCTTTTTCCAGGTTCCCTGGCTATGCGTGCCTTCCATTTCCTCTGGCAGGGCAGAGGCCACAGTTAAAAGTGTTGTCCTTGTCACAGTAGCTGGAAAGCTTTGGGAAACTGGCATTTTCCAGAGAGAGAACAGATGATAAGGAAGAAGGGGTGCCCCTGCTTGGTCTTGCATCTCTTTTTTCCCAGGCCAAGATCTTGACTGTTTGATTGGGAGACCTGGCTACTGAAATCAGCCAATTGATCAAGCTATGCATCTATTATCTGTTTATCTACCTAGCCAGGGACTCATTTTCCCCTTTTCCTCATCTTCATCTTCAGTGTTTAAACCCACTTACATGGAGACAGATCCAGTGATGCTAACGGGACACCTTCGTTTTCCCTTTGCCCCTCTTGATGGAAATGAGTGGCATGTTTTTACTTTTGCCGTCATCCAGGGTTCAGCATTTTCTCAGTGAAATATTTCAAGTTGGAATTTGCCTTCCTCATTGGCACTGCTTGGTCTTCCGCTTCAAGTCTGGCGGGCCAAGAACCCAGTTCTGTTGCTCTGGATTTATCTGCCACTGTTGGGCAGGCAAGCTGTAGGTGTGCAGGGAATGGTTATGCCAGGAATGGCCAGAGAGTCCTTCTTTTCTATCGTGGAGCACCTTAGGAGGGGATGGGGTGGGGGTGTCACAAAAGTGCCCTGAGTAAACGAGGAAGAAAGGAAAAACGGTCTCAATTGTATCATTCTCAAATGTATCGTACCCCTTACATCTAAGCCCGGCTAGGTTTTCTGTCCATAAGTGACTTATGTGTGATCTTGCTTCCAGAAGGCAGGGAGTGTGTAAACTGCGGGGCGACCTCAACCCCACTGTGGCGGAGAGATGGGACGGGACACTACCTTTGCAATGCCTGCGGACTCTACCACAAAATGAACGGACAGAACCGGCCCCTCATCAAACCCAAGCGAAGGCTGGTAAGTTCTGCTTGGGAAGCACTGACCAGTACTAAGCCTTTAGGGTTTTTAATTTCCTCTCTTCAGGAAGGAGAGCTTTCTACAGGAAATTGGCAGGACCCCTCAAAATCATGTCGGCTTGCTTGGGAGAGCTCCCTCCTCCCACCCCATCCCCCATTTTGTTTCCTCTTTTCAAGTTGAATGAATAGAAAAGCTCTCTCTCTCTCTCTCTTTTACCCCCTCTTCCTCAAAATGTTAAGGATGCGCCACCTTCTTGGCTATCAACTCATATTTATTGATTAAATAGAGTGATTAATGCATTGATAATCACTGACTGCCTCCCACACAGAGGGATTTAGGCAGAGGATGACAATCCTGTGTACCAGCCGAAATGTGTCATGAGGAGCCGGTGGGGTCCCAGGAAGTGACTGCAGTTGCAGTGCCATATCTGGGCGGGCAATGCGCCTCCTCTGCCAGTGAGCTGTAAGATGGATGGGGCAATTAACTGAGTTTCAGAAGCAGCCAGCCATTGACCCGAATGGACTTTTCCTTCCTATTTCAGTTGTAGAAATTGAGGACTTTTCACAGGGAATTCCTGTGGGGGACATTGTGTGTGTGTGTGTGTGTGTGTGTGTGTGTGTGATATCCCTGTCTTACCTCTCCGTCTCAATCTAGCATTGAGTCTTATTTCCCTTTGAAGTACTACAGGGTGGTCATTTTTCTTTCTGATACACCATGACCTTTCCGAATCTCTGAGAAAAACTGGTGCCCCTTGAGCATTTATAAGGAAGAGGTAGCAGGCGAGGTTCATCCTTTAGCTTCTCCGTGGCCAGACTGAACCGTTGAGCCCATGTAGCAGAGAGAAAAACGAAGCAGACTTGGCCAATGATAACTTAAACCACAGTCAGAGATCAAACTGCTTTCTGTGGTGGTGACATTCATCATAGACAGGGGTGGAGGGGAATTTCCCCAGGCAGACAAATGGATGAATTAGCACCCATCACATTCTGAGGAAAACGCAGAACTGCCCAACACCCGCTCTAGTCCTCTTAACGGCATGGGTTTTTTTTTGGTCTTTGCCATCAGATTTTCATGTAACTCAACACCTTTCACATGCTCTTCAGAAAAAGGAAAACTTTCTAGGCATGGAAGTACCCACGTGACTTGAGATGCTGGCAACACTCGGGCTCTAGGCTTTATTCCTTCTCATCTTTATCCGCTATGTCAACTTTCTCAGCCTCCCCTCCGGCCCCTTCTCCTCGCAGTTTAGTTATTTTCTTTTCCTTTCTCTTATGTGTGAAGCTCACTTCCTAGGAAAAAGCTGCCGGATATCTGAGCCCCAGAGATAACTCATAAACAACAACTCAGCTTCCCCAACCTAAACATCAAGATGTTTGAACGGATCAGAACAAGAAGGGTTTGAAAAAGGAGGGGGGAGGTGGGGGTGCTGGAGGTGTTAGCGCAAAATGAATATGATCGCACCACAAAAGAATGTTCTGAATCACTTAAAACCTGGCCTTAGTGGAAAGAAAAAGAAAGAAAGAAGGGGAGACAGCCTCTTTGTGAAGATAAGTCATAGTATCACTACAGGATTTTTTAAAAAGGTAAATAAAGAAGGAAAAAGAGGGCAAAAGTCTCCAATTTGCGGCTGATTGGTGAGAAAGGGCGCATCTGACATCTCCTTGGGGTGTCTCTGTGCTGATCGCAAAGGAGACTTCTTCCTTTGTATGTAATTTTGTCTCCTGTCACCTTTCAAAAGACATCTCTAGAACTCGGAGTAATTGTTGCTTTTATGCTAGAGTTCAGCGGCAGTCACATTTAAAGTTGTCTTTAACTTCTTAAACAGCTGTTCTGAGTGCTTTTATATTTTTGTCTCAGAGAAATCAGACACTCAGAGCATATTCATCTATCATTTTTCTTGGGCCTTAGAAGTATTTGACTTTTGAACACCTAGCACCGTCCCCACCCCACCCCTTGTCCCCCATGCTTCCTGTCCCTTTGCGCCAGCTCCATCTTTCCAGTCTGCTAGTTTTTCTTTCACCCATTTGCAGATTGACTGAAGACCACCGAGCTCACAGTGCAGCTGGCTCTTCCGTCAGATGCCTATCTAGCACTGAATAAGCGAATGCAGGAAATAGATGAAATGATTGGAGGGGAAGAGCCATAGAAGTTTTTTTCCCCTTCCCTTTTAGACTAGTCAAAAGGCAAGCAGCTTACTTTATTAATATACTTTGCCTCCTGCTAGTGAACCAAGCAGGTGGCTTTTAGAGATTATGTAGAAGTTGTTACAAAGTCTGTCGCAGCGGAGAGATATTCCGAATCTGTTTATATTTATGTTACTCCCAACAGACCGCTGCAAAGGACTCCACATCAGCCCCGCCATTTAAAGTTCTTATTTTACCGTTGGGCATCTGTCCTTCGTCTCTCTTTTAGAAATGGTTGGGCTGGGAAATCCAAGTGCCTGAGTAGGTATTAGCCTACAATGCCTAAGTATTGCTTTTCAAAGAAATTTCTTTTTAAGGAAAAAGGAAAGCCACCAGAAGATAGTAATAATAATAAGAAGAATAGCAACATAATTCTCAAAATCACTGAGCACTGATATAATGCTGCACCTTCTTCCTGAGAACATACAAGTGACATGACTTAACCTTTCAGGGACTGTGTTTCACAGACACGTGGAGTTTAAATCCATCCCTGAGAACTGTGGGGACCTATACTGTAAACAGACAGCAGAAAGTGGGGAGCTTCTAACTCCCATAGATGGGGGCTGTCTTTCTTTCTAGTTCCTTCGCATACAGAGAATTAAGAAGTTAAAGCTGTGATTCTGCTATCAGAACCCCGGGGACAGTTTTGTGGCTCTAAGGAGAAAGGTCAAGGCTGGCTAATCCAAAACCACTACTGCATCTCCCACCTCTCAGACGGACCGCCTGGTGGCACAGTAGTCACTGCTCAGCTGCTAACCCAAAGGCTGGCTCTCTGAGGGAGAACGATGTGGCAGCCTGCTTCCTTACAGCTTGGTGGCTGCAGAAACCCCACGGGGCAGTTCGACCCTGTCTAGGGCAGCTATCAGTCGACGTTGATGAGACGGCCGTGCTTTGGTTTCTGAGTTTTCTCCTATTTGGCCCTTCAAGGGTTTATTGGCCTAACTTACGCTAGCAGACACCTCCCTCTAGTTCCCTTCCCATACTTTTTATAAGAGTTTTCCCCAGACCACCGACAAGCGACAGTTGAATTCAGTTGCCTTTCTCCCGCTCTTATTGTGATGCTAGCTCTCACTTGTAGGAACAGGATCAGATGTGGAGCCAGAATGTTCTTTTTCTGGCTGTGGATGTGTTGGATGAGGACAGAGAGGCATAGGCTACAGGTGACGCAACTCCATCTTCTTTCAAACGGTTCAGAACCTTTATATTCTCTTCAGTGCCGAGAACCAGACCCCTTGTACATTTAACCTGTGTCCCCAAGCGAAAGAAAACCTCCCTTTATGCTACAGGGGTGGGATGGGGGTGGAGTGGGGGAGGATGAAGACAGTGACGCCACCAAGGGGTTAAAAGTCCCAGTGGAGGCTGACCTTTGACCCGTGAGCAGCGAGTAGGAGACTGGTTGTTGGCGAGAACAGGAGCAACACAAGTCCTTGTTCCGTTCATTGGGTCTCGGGAACGAGGGCTTGCGAAAGCTAGGAACAGGGGCTGCTATCCCTGTGAGCGAGCGAGCACCAAGGTGGAGGACGCGCCGGTGCCTTTAAGACCACTGCAGATTAGACAGGGCCGGGGGCCACTGAGCATGTCCTGCTCTTACTGCCTACAGCCCTGGAGTCACACAGCACACACTGTCCCTCCAGAGCCCAGGGACTGCTCTCCTGGCCCTCTGTGTGCCCTCTCCATCATCCCGCATCTCTTCATCTGGGGTCTACAAAGCGCCCTTTGAGCTGGAGTTTGCTTGGCCTTGGCTGTCCGCAGGTCCTGATGGCTCGTAGCCTATCTGAAAATGGATTTCCTTGCAAGTTTTCCTGGAAGATATTTCTTGTAGGCCTCCCCCCTCATGCCCCCCCAAAAAAGGCCCCTGCCAAGGCCTGGGACCCAAAGTAGCCTGGTTACATCAGCTATCGCTAAAGCCTAACCATCCGGTGAGCGTTGTGGGGTCAACAAAAGGGGTGTGTGTGTGTGTGGGGGGGGCATCATGATCCCCCAGAGGTGGATCCCCCCAGCTTTCTGATCCTTCATTCTATACCGGAGAGAAGAGCAGCAGGCTCCCTGCCGAGGGGCTCGGGCTGAGTCTGACGCCCCTCTTGGGCATGGACGGTCTACATTTTGCTTCTCAAGGGGTTTCTGGGACCTTTCTACTGTCTTGGGGGGCACTTGGTAGTCTTGATATCAGGGATTATTGTTTCTTTGTTTAAATGTCCATCTCAGCCGTCACCCAAACACCTGTCCTGTCTGATTCTCTCCTCCCCTCGCCCCTCTCGCACCCAGTCGGCAGCTAGGAGAGCTGGCACGTCCTGTGCCAACTGCCAGACGACCACGACCACTCTCTGGAGGAGGAACGCCAATGGAGACCCGGTCTGCAACGCCTGTGGGCTGTACTACAAGCTGCACAATGTAAGTGTCCCAGGAACCCCCCACGGGCAGGCTGGGCGATGGTGCCCATCAAAGTCCCCTGGCGCCCCCTCACTCACCCGGGATTGACCTCCTCTGAGTGAAGACGGTAGTGAGGTTTCAACTCATTGGGGTCAGGGGACCAAGTCTCGGAAATCCTTGCTTCTCCAGGCTAAAATGATTTCCTCCGCATTGCACATAGCAGGCCCTTGCCAGCTAGACAGGCGTCGTCGCTGGGAAGGAGCCACCCGGTAGGTTGGCTCCTACCGTGACCCTAGTACCACAGAAACCAGCCCTCCCACACCCTGTGAGCCAGTCCACCTGAGTCCTCCTTTCTCGTGAAGACTGCAGGGGTTACAAACAGAAGGAAGGAGGCAGCCGTTGAGTCTGAGTGGGTATGAAACCCAGCCATCGGATATGCTTGCTGGGTCTCGTCTGGGTTTTTTAACAAAAACAAAAAACACTACCCCCCCCCCCCTCACCTTCCCCTGGCAGGGTGGGAAATCACCCATTATTTTGTGATTCTGCACCTTTGCACTTTACCTTTTGCACAAAGTGAATGAGAGGGAGCCAGGGCGGGAAAGAGAGAGAGAAATAGCACTGAAATGCACGGCACACGAATTCCTGAAACTAAGAACTGAGTCAGTTCCCGAGGGGTCTTGGCTAAACCTGTGTGCTGCATGTCATGCGACCTCTCCCTACGAAAGACATGGAACAAAACGGAATGTCTGAGAGAGCTTGTCTGACGCCTGACCGCATGCAAAGACATCCCGAGTTAGGCAGGGAGGGCAGCTGATTACAGCAGAGAAACTCTGGGGTTTTTCCTTCTATATCATATTAGCAGAGTGATAATTGTCAGTCACCTGGCTTTAGTTGTGTCATTTCTAATCTTTTAATAGGGAGGTCCTCCCATTATAAGATAATACCTTTACTTAAAAAAAAATTTTT